CTAACTAGAATTGACTTGCATGTGAGAAAATAAAACCTCACCTGTTTTACTAATGGTATTAAAAATGGTATAACATTTCTGATGAACAGTTTATTAATTAAGTAGCAATAGCTTTTGATCCAGTAATTCCACTCTAGGAATTTCGTTTGTTTGTTTGTTGTTTGTTGCACTCCAGACTGTCACCCAGTCTAGACTTGATGCTTTTACTCAGCATGATATAAACCATTATCTCAAGTTTTCTATGGAAAGCAGTCACCCAATCTGGAGCGCAGTGGTGCGATCTCAGCTCACTGCAACCTCCACCTCCCGGGTTCAAGCAATTCTCTTGCCTCAGCCTCCCGAGTAGCTGGGACTACAGGCTCATGCCGCCATGCCCGGCTAATTTTTGGTATTTTAGTAGAGACGGGGTTTGACCGTATTGCCCAGACTGGTCTTGAACTCCTGAGCTCAGGCAATCCACCCGCCTCGGCCTCCCAAAGCACTCTAGGAATTTATCCTGAAAGAATAATTAGATATTTGACGAAAGTGTGGAAAACAATGTACGTACTTACAGTCAACTGATATTATATATCCTCATAGTTGAAGTTAGAAATACAACTTGAAAATATTGACATAAATATACTGATTTGTATCACATACTATTAAGTGAGAAAACAAGTGGACATGTATTTAACAGTTGCTTTTCTATTTCTTTTTTTCTTAAGAAAAGAAATGTATGCAAAAAAAGGATATATAAATAGCAGTGACTATTTCTGGGTAGTCTATTATCAAGTTATTTTATTGTTTTAATATCATTTTTGCTGGTTTGTATTTTTCAATTTCCCTGCAAGAAATAGATATTAATTATGTAATAGAAGCAAATTATAAACTTCTTTGCCAATATATTTTACTACAATTATTATGGCTGTGATTAAAGTGAAAATTGAAGAACCTTGTCCTCCTCTGTTCACACATTCCCTGGAATCCTAGATTAATCCATAAATTAAATTTCAGAATTTGCCTCTTCTGAGGATTGTTATTATTGACAATGAGATAAACAAAGACTTTTTGAAACGAATTTACTAGAAGAGACACGAGCTTTATATTCATTTTACCGTGTGCCATATACAACCAACAGGGCCCTCCAAATATTTAGATTTAGTTTTTGCACTTATTGCTGTGTGACCTTGCGCAAATCACTGACCCTTCTGATTTCTCATATACTTTCTTTATCTTAAAATTGGATAAAAATATACCACCTGCCTGCCCTGTGCAGCTGTTTGAAGAATTAGGTGAAACAATGACATGAGAAGGTTTTATAAACCAGTTAAGAGCTACATAGAGGAGAGATATGATCTCAGTCTTCTTTTTTTCTTTGCACTTTTCTCATCCATTACATATTTCTTGTGATTTAAGAGATGCCACATGCCTGATATTTTCAAAGTAAATGCATCTCAAAACCTGGGCGAACCAGCTCTTCATCTGCCCGAACAGCACCATTCTTGATATTAATAACCCAAGATGGACTTAAATGTTGAAGAATCATCCAGTGTTCTACTTTCCTGCTGCCTGCTGAGTCGGCTTTGAAGCTCAGGCTGCAGAATGGAATAAGATAAAATGAAATAAAAAGCTTGTGTGTATTAAGATGGCTTTTCCTGTTATATTTCTAAAAACGCCGAACGCTTATGCCGGAGTTTAGGCAAACACAATACTGATTATTTACATGGCATAATGGAAGTAAACACTCAAGGAGAAAGAGACTTGATGCTTTTACTCAGCATGATATAAACCATTATCTCATGTTTTCTATGGAAAGCAGTCTCAGCCGAGAAATTTGGTAACTCAGTAGGCTATTAATAGGATGTGGAATGTGATTACTCCTTTTGGATTACTTCAATATGTAATTACTTTTAGGAGCTAGTAGAAAGAAACTCTATTAAATGATAATTATAGGACTGTATTTGCTTTAAGGTTCTATAATAGCTTTAAACATGGGAGTTTTCATTAACTGTTTGCCATAGTTAATAAAGTAATTTTTCTTAAAAAGTAGCAATTTCCTGCAAAAATGGTAGCTCAACAGTGGTATTAGTCTCTTATAGGAGAGGGCAGGGGAGACGAATTGTTCCGTAGATTGGCTCCTCTAGGGTTATATAATCCCCTTGAAAAATATAGATGGTATCCGCAAAGTATTGTGACAAACTAAAATCCTTATAACTTCCTAGAGAACAATATGTCTTAGTATAATGTTTTCAGAGGTTAACAACAACTAAATATGATTGCACATATAAAAAGAAAACGTACAGGGCAGGTGATGGAGACAAAGTTATCACAGCAGGGAAAGCTTAGTAAAGGTTCTGTTTATAGGTGTCCCATGATAAACAGTAATATTGCTAGGAATACAGCCCCAGGAGTTAGACCTCCAATGTAAGTTGAGAATTGCATCAACACAGATAAAAGATTGACCATAAATATTTGAGAAGCTAGACAAAAGATGGCAGCTAAGAGTCATATGAGAACATCTGAGTTTTCTGGACAACTGAATCAATCTCTTCACTATTGTTAAAACTAAATCCATTATGCAATATATTGTTACAAGCATTTCTTTGTCAGAAAACTGATATAAGCCTAAGCTGAAAAAATACAGCAGTCTGTCAATTCAAGGTGGAACTGGAAACAAATTTGAGAATGCAGAAAATTCTAAGAGTGAACACAGGGCTTTTCATAAATTCAAATACAGAAGTATACACATCTTAGAAAGCATTATGCAAACACGATTAGTGCCACTCTGTTCAATTCAGCTCGGTACACACTTTTCGATGTTCACTGTGTGCCCGAGTTTCCCTGTTTTAGAGAAAACTTATCATTACAAAATGAATTCCTATATTACATATGTGTGTCCCATGAGGTGTGTGTGTTTCTGGTTGAGAGCTATCCATTTACGTTAGTGCTTTGCAGAATTATCTCCTTCAGAGACTTACAAGTGCACATTCACCAAAGCCAAAAGGTAACAGAAAAATCCTAGTGTAAATACAAACTTAATGCATGCTAAGTAACATTTCTGTTTTAAAATGATGGGAATCATTTACAAATTGAATCAGGGGTTGTTTCGTAGGCTTCTTTTAAAACACGTTTTTCTACATATAACTTCCTTCACACTTCAGTTCTTAAGAGCAAGTTCATTATAGAAAGCAAGGCATTGGGAAAGAAAAGGCTATCGTAACACCTAGGACATTTTGCCTCATCATCTCATTTGGTGAGTGCTTGACTTATAAGGCCCCATAATTAAATACTCATGTAAGTTCAAGAAATAATACAGTAAATCAAATCACAGACTCTCAAAATCCAAGTAGCATGGGGTGCGCCTGTCAGGCCTCTGAGCCCAAGCCAAGCCATCGCGGGTGCAGGCGGGCTGAGAACGAAAAGAGAGTCAGCGAAGGGAGATAAGGGTGGGGCCGTTTTATAGGATTTGGTTAGGTAAAGGAAAATTGCAGTCAAAGGGGGGTTGCTCTCTGGCGGGCAGGAGTGGGGGTCACAAGGTGCTCAGTGGGGGAGCTTTTTGAGCCAGGATGAGCCAGGAAAAGGAATTTCACAAGATAATGTCATCGCTTAAGGCAAGGACCGGCCATTTTCACTTCTTTTGTGGTGGAATGTCATCAGTTAAGGCGGGGCAGGGCATTTGCAGTTCTTTCGTGATTCTTCAGTTACTTCAGGCCATCTCAGCATATACGTGCAAGTCACAGGGGATGTGATGGCTTGGGCTCAGAGGCCTGACAGCGCCTGTCTGCTTTAATCATCAACACGGAAGGATTCAGTGGTTAAGGCTATAGCATCTGGCCTCTGAAAGCCTGGGTTTAAACCCAGCTGTAACTTCTATTTGGTCGATTGATTTGAGAGAAATCATTTAATGATTCTGTGCCTCATTTTTCTCATCTATGGAATAAGGGTGGCAATAATGCCTACCTATGGTGGTGGTAAGAAAATTAAGTGGACAGAGTGTGGAAAGGATCTTGGCATGGGTCGTGGAGCACAGCAACTGGTATTTATGGTACTGACGATAGCGATATCAGTAATGGGGAAAGTAATAATACTTACTAGAAAGTTTAAGATTCTTTAAGCCTGTTCTTAGTCACTGGGAAAGCAATCAACCTATGGCCTAGTACATGGCTAGCATGGATTGCATGAATATAGCAATCGGTATTCCTCCTTTCGCTCCCATGTTAAATGGTGGCCTCTGTCTCTCTGTTTCCACAGGCCTGCACCATCACAAACTTAAATGGGCAATTTCACTACCAAGTAATGCACAGAGAAAAACAGTGTGGATGAGCATAAAAAATATATACATATATTCATCATTCCTGGCTCTTCCACCAACTTTATCTAGGGACTGCATCAGGTCTGGGACTACATAAACAAAAACATCAATTTCTAATAATCTGCAAGTCTAGAACCTCCTTAACTAATGAAAGGGGAAGCAGAAATCCTATTAAAGTTTGCCATTTTTATAATGGACAAACAATGCTTTGTTTCATGCCCTTCAGGCAACAATTCTGCAACTACTTTTAGATATCAAGCTCTGTACCCAGCCACACTGCATTAAAACTGTGCTTGGAAGGGAAGGCCAGCTGAAAGATTAAATTGCCTTACAAAGTTGAACTAATCTCTTTTAATGCTTTACTTGATATCAATATTCATAAAGCCATCCTTCCCCCAAGGGTTTATCAACCTCTTGAAAAAAAAGATAAATGGAGTTGTTTGCATATTGACCCTGTAAGCTTCTGCTCTTAGTTTTCCCACTGCTTCATGAATATCAAAGCCAAAAAAAGTAAAATAAAATTAAACTCACTTATTCACATGCATCAAATGAGCCCATGTTTCCGAATAGAGGTGGCATGATTATTTCCGGTTTGTTCTTCAACAGGAAGACATTATAATGATTAGTGAAAATACTTGTGCTATGCAATATAAACGCCATTTGTTTTCCAGTTCTACTTCTCTGAATGCATAGGAACCTTAGTACGAACCTCGGTTGTCTCTGACTGTGAAATTTGGATTGTGAATGATTTCAGGGGGTAGGCTGAAGATAAATCTTGGTCCGTTGGCTGTGTCATCCTTGTCATCTGCACTAATTGTAACAATTGGCTGAAAGAGAAAGGTGGCCCATAAATAAATCATGCTGACATTGGCACATCATTTATTCAAAAATTCCTGGCTGGCTAGAAAGTCTGATTTCAATTAGAGAACATAGCTTCAGAGCAAAACCATGGCTCTGAAACCTTTTTGGGCAGTGGTTGGTATCTCCAGGTGATGCTTTAAAAAACACACTCTATTTCCAAGTGCATTGCTCCTAGCCAGAAATAGAGAAAGCAGGATTACCTGGTTGGAAAGTGGCTTGGTCTGATCACTCTCACAGATGAAACCTTCATAAGGGGCAGCAAACTTGGGAGCATTATCGTTGACATCAAGGATCCTAATGGCCACTGGGACTTTGGCTTCCTGATGCCGATTGTCTGGGAAGAGAGAATGCAGACAGTCAAGAAAGGTCAAGGAGAAATACACATTGGTCCAAGCATATTCTTGGGAAACAGTAAGCTCCAGTGACCCATTTGGACCGTGCAGGGAAAGATGTTCTTGTCGCAGAATCTATGTAAGAGCAGAAGGGTGCTAAGTACAGTGGGAGAGGCATGTCTTGGAATAAATATTGATGTTAAGATCAGTAAGAACTAAAACAATTTTCCATGTTTGCTGACTATGATGCTGAGCTTTAGTTCTAAAGGCTTATCATGGAGCCTGATGCCCAGACAGTAATCTATCAAAGTGGTTCTTAAATGTGGGAGTCTACAGAAAAGAATTAAAACCATCTGGGAACATGTTGGAAACAAAAATTCTCAGGCCCTGTCCCAGACCTACAGAATCAGAGGCTCTGGGGAAGGGTCCAGAAATCAGGCTTAATGACTCATCAGCTTGACGCATGATCAAGTTTGAGGTGTTGTCTATAGATAAACAAGAACCCACAAACCTTGGACCTAAGGACTTTGCTTTTCTGGGTTCAGCAAAGACTAGTGACTAGATGGAGTGGGAAATATTTTAGTGATTGTTATGAGTTTCAAACTCCTGAAGGCTGCCGGCTCTCTCGCCAAGACTATACCCAGGTCTGTCAAAAAAAACAAAAACATTTCCCTTTGCCTATGTGTCTTCCTAGAGAGATAACCAAAAACACATTTTAAAGACTGAAAAATCTGTTTAAAACCAGAAAAGTTAGTCTATCTCAGCTATTTTATTTCCCAGAATATAGAGTCTGAAGCAATAATACTTGGTAAAGCAGAATCAAAACCCTGAGAAGAATACTTACGGATTTCTGCTGCAAAGACAGTGATGTTGAGCCAGGCTGTTTCCTCTCTATCCAGAGGTTTTGTAGTTTTAATAAAACCATCCTCTGGATTAATAGTGAAAAATCTGTCGAGGTCAGTGTGACGATCGATGGAATACCTAAGCAGAATGCAAATGAGGCAATTAGACTAAGACATTCGGAGCAGCTTAATATTTGAATATTTTCTCCATACTATATTTAAAGCAAGCTTCTCAATGAATTGCTTAAGCTAGATTTTCTTTCTAATCAAATTTACTTTTGAAACTTTGTATGCGAATCTTTTATAGAAAAAACTTTGCCACGTTGGAATTCCTTATTCAGTACAATGAATGAAAGGGTTGTTTAGCATATTTGATTGAGAAGTATAATAACGTGATGCATATTTCTCCACATTTACTACAATCACCCATCTTCTGAATATTTATGGAACTGCATTTGGAAAGTGAGTTTGCCTTGCCCCCAAACTACTCAGAAAGTCACAAATGTATCAAAACTTTGCCAGATTTTTGCATATGAAATATTAAATACGTTTGAGTGTATTTAAATTTATCAAGATCATGTACAGACCTAAAAATCAATTTGTCTTTATTTAAAGAAAAATGCAGCCTGGTACAGTGGCTCACTCCTGTAATCCCAGCACTTTGGGAGGCCAAGGTGGGTGGATAATTTGAGGCCAGGAGTTCAAGACCAGCCTGGCCAACATGGCGAAATCCCGTCTCTACTAAAACGTACAAAAACTAGCTGGGGATGGTGGCACACACCTATAATCCCAGTTACTTTGGAGGCTGAAGCATGAGAATTTCTTGAACCCGGGAAGTAGAGGCTGCAGTTAGCTGAGATCATGCCACTGCACTCCAACCTGGGTGACAGAGCGAGACTCTGTCTCAAAAAAAAAAAAAAAAAGAAAAGAAAAAAAGAAAATGTTAACTATATTTTAGTAAATCTGTTTAGTTTATTTAGTTTCAGGGGTTCTTAGTTAGCTTGACTCTGAATTCCAGTATGCAATGTACAAAGTAAGCTTGGCCATTTACTCGTAGGGCATTTTCCCATATTTTAATGACTCCAGGCTGTGCATAATAGTTCATTTTAATGACTCCAGGCTGTGCATAAAATTTTAGTTCCTCCCATACACTAAGTTAACTTTTTACTAATAAAGGACAAAAAAAGTCACATAATAATATTAGGTTGTAATTATGGCAAAGTGAGGTGGCAGACGGGGGAAGAATGGCTTTTGCTGGGTTGTAGTAAGGTAAAATAACTTGCCCAGGATACAGTCTTGTTGTAATGGGTCTGCTGAACTCCAAAGCCTCTTCCCTTACCACTCCCTTAGACTAACTCCCAAACGGAAAAGAACAATAATGGGTTACGTTAATTCAGGTAGTATGCTGAGCTTCATAAATGGGTGATTTTCTGCTCTTAGAGGTCTAAGCTATGATTTCCAAAAATTTACAAAATGAGTATGTCAGAAGGCATTCAGTGGTGGTCAAAAATCAAAGAATAATTAGAGATAGCAGAGACCATGAATATCAGAAGGTTTAATCGCCTAGATTTACAAATGATGAAATTTACAAATGGTCTATGTCCAGTTTCTGGAAGAGACAATATTGGAAGTCAGATCTTCTAATCCCAGCTCATGTTCTTTTCAGGAAAGAGGGACCCCCACTGGGCGGCACTTCACAGTATATAAACATGAGCTCATTCACGATGTCACTTAACTTCACAGCTCCCCATAAAAATGGAATGATGAGTCCCTGGCACAGTGACAAACCAAAGATATTCACACACCTCCTCAATGTCAGGAGATGCTCAGTAACTGAGTCCTCAGCAGATAACACTATGCGGAAAGGAGTCAAAAAAATAATCAAAGACGTTTTTTCCTTTCATGAGGGAGCTCACTATTTAGTTGGCATGACAATACACATGTGGGAAAAAAGATCATTAATAATTCAAGGCATTATTCCACAGAAATGAAGGGCATGAGTTTTGGGTTTTGGAAGTCCTAAGTACAACTTCATAATTGGCTACACATAAGCTAGATGATAATGGAAACGCCACTTAAGTTCTTTGAGCCTTAGCATGTTTATCTTCTAAAATGGAATTAATATATATATTTTTTCCAAATAGAATCTCACTATGTTGCCCCAGCTTGTCTTGAACTGCTGGGCTCCAGTCATCCTCCCGCCTCAGCCTCCTGGGTAGCTGGGATTGCAGGAACCTGGCTGAACTGGATTATTAATAGTGCCTAACTCTTTTGTTATCTGTGAGAATTCAATAAAATAATAAATGTTTAAGATACACAATGTAGTGACTCACACATATAAGCAGTGCAACCAACAACAACTGCTATTGTTTTTGTTGTTGATGCTGCTGTTACACACTGAGAACAGACTGTGGAAGCTCTCATAGGTAAGAGCATGACCTTCATCCTATAGCCAGTGAGAAATTGTGGAAGGCTTTGAGCAGAGAAGCAAATAAATGGATACAAGCTCTCAAGGAGATCAAAAACATATGATGGGCAAGATGGTCTGAGGAAGAGAGAGTAGAAGAAGGAGCAGAGGAAGCTTAAGGATTTGATGCTGTTTTTAAATACATGAGGTGATGAGAGTGAAGTACAGGGGTGACAGAGGAAATGGAATCCTAGATGATGACGAAAGCCCCAGTAGGATTTAGTGGATATTTGGGCTTCTAGGGGAGGCTGAGAGTCCCAGGTAGCTTCTCACCTGAATGTCTGAGAGAGGGAGATTAAAGGACATCGAAAAAGAAAACATTGGCTATTGTGAATAGTGCTGTGATGAACAGTTGAGTGCTTGTGTCTTTTTATTTTCCTCTGGATATGTATTTTTAAATAAATATTTATAAAATTGATTTTCCTTTGGATATATGTCCTGTAATGAGATAGGATCAATCATATCCCCAACCTCAGCACTACACAATATAACCATTAACAAACCTACACATATACCCCCGAATCAAAAATAAATGCTGAAATTATTTTAAAAAATTAAAAAGAAAAAAGAAAAAAAAAAAGGCAATTACCAGGAAGGAAAAGTTGACATTTAATTAAGGATATGTCAAAATGCTCAGAGAGCAAAGACTCAACTCTATTGTAGGCTTCAGGAAGTCAAGGGTGGAAACAGCTGTTTTTGTTTTAAAGTATGTCACAATAATTATAAAATCAAAAATATGTCTTGGATAAATGAGTAAACCAGTGAAAGAAAAAGCAAATGGGTGAAAGTACACAACAGACAGTATCATAAATGCAGAATTAGAGTCGGGGAGAAAGATCAGCCTAGGGGCAGGAAATCTGAAGCATCAACTTAGGTCAATTACCGCTTGGGTAAAACCCTATAGGTGAGTGGACACAGAGAGAGAAAGGACCAAGTCAGTGCCTGGACAGGGATCAAAGACTAGTGAAGACATCAGGTACAGTGTTATCTGAGGCATAAGAGGTTAGTGCCAAGAAAACTAAAGGAAGAGAATATTTTAGAAAGGAAATTGTAAACAAAAATGTGTCTAATGCTACAATCTGAGAAAAAAAGATCTGCAGAATGTCCAAGAAGTTAAGAGTTCGGGTGATATTTCAAGGCCTCCATTATATATCCAAGGACACAAATTTCCACAAAGGTGAAGAGAAACAACCAGGAAATTAGGTAGGGAGGATAAAAGACCCATTAGATAAAAAGTTTTGAGGCCTGGCGCAATGGCTTACGCCTGTAATCCCAGCACTTTGGGAGGCCAAGGAGGGCAGATCACCAGAGGTCGGGAGTTTGAGATCAGCCTGGCTAACATGGTGAAACCTGTCTCTACTAAATATACAAAATTAGCTGGCCATGGTGGCACATGCCTGTAATCCCAGATACTTGCTTGAACCCGGGAGGCAGAAGCTGCAGTGAGCTGGGATCGCACCACTGCACTCCAGCCTGGGTAACAGAGTGAGACTCGGTCTCCAAAAACCAACCAACCAACCAACAAACAAGCAAACAAAAAAGTTTTGAACAGACTAGGTGCAATGGTTCATGCCTGAAATCCCAGCATTTTGGGAGGCTGAGCCAGGAGGATCACTTAAGCCCAGGAGTTTGAGATCAGCATGGGCAACATAGTGAGAACCCCCCTCTCTACAAAAACAAAACAAAACAAAACAAATTAGGCAGGCACAGTGGCATGCACCTGCTGTCCCAGTTACTTGGGAGGCTGATGTGGGAGGATCACCTGAGCCTACGGAGCTCAAGTCTGTAGTGAGCCATGATGACGCCACTGCACTCCAGGCTGGGTGAAAGAGTGAGACCCTGTCTCAAAAACAAACAAAAAAGCTTTGAATATTCTCCTATAATTTGTCTGACATTTCTAAAGAACAAAGACCCAAGTAGGTAGAAGTAGGGGGTTGGTTCGAGTGTGGTATTGAGCATCGTTGGATAATTATAGACATGGAAATTGCCTACATAGAACAGCTACCATTTGAAAACATGACCCAAATAATCAATTGCAGATGTGAATCCTTGGAGACAATGAGGTGCAGAGGAAATGAGTGAGTGTTTTTACGTCACAGTCACTGCTCTTCTAAAAACTTTATAATGCACCTCGATATTCTAGGCCAAAGATAACTCATTTAAAATTCACACTGTGAAGATTTTTAAGTAGTTTAAAGGTGTTAGAAGGGTCCATAGTCATTATTTAATGTATCTTTCTGCACAAAGAGAATATAGTAATCAAACCTTCTTGGGAAATCTTTCCATTAGTGGCTGCTGGGTTAAAGTAAAAAGCTCAAAATGAACTCAAGACAGATCTGGGCTAAAATCCAGTGTTCGACACTGACCGTCCATGCAATTTTAGAGAAGTCCCATCATTGCTCCGAGCCTCAGTCTTTCCACCTATTCAATTCTAGAGAAGCCATAGCCACAAAGGATGTCAGTGAGAACTGACTGAAATAACTTTGCAAAACCTGTTGTACGAGGCTGAAAAGATGCTCAGTAAATATTAATTATCTCTCTTTTCCTCAGAAGAATCAATGTTCAAAGATCCAAAAGCAACCCAACATCACTTAGAGTTGGGAATTCCTTCTTCCCTGCCACTATTTTCTTTGATATAAATGGACAAACTCCATTGTCCATGTAATTTGTTTTCATATTTAGATCCATTTACTTTTTCTTAAGTGTCTGCCTCCTTAAGTATACTGGGAACCCACAGTGTGTGCTCAATGAAGATTTGTCAGATAAATGTGTGAATAAGATGTCATCACTTCTATCACGCTTCCTGTTTTACACTCAAAAACTGTGAGTTTGACCTTCTAAGCCAAATCAGGAGTTATTTTATTTATTTACTCAATAAATATTTGCTAGACATCGACTTTGGGCCATGTACTCTGTTTGGTGGAAGGTGCAGTGATGATCTAGAACAGGGGTCAGCAAACATGTTCTGCAAAGGGCCAGCCAGCAAATGCTTAGCTTGTGCAGGAATTAGAATCCCTGTCTCAACTACTCAACTCTGCCCTTGCAGCAGGAAAGAAGACGTAGGTAATATGCAAACAAATGATGTGACTGTCTTCCCATATAACATTATCTACAAAAATAGGTGGTGAGAAAAAAGACGAAGAATTCAGTTTCTGATTTCAAAACATAGCACAAAGTTATTGTGATGAAGGCTATGTGGTACTGCCATATGGATAGACATATAATTAATGGAATGTAATCAAGAGTACAGAAACAAACCTGGTTTCTATGACTATAAATGGTCAATTTTCAACATGAATGCCAAGACCATTCAATTAAGAAAAAATAGTCTTTTCAACAAATAGTGCTGGAATAATTGGATACACACATGCAAAATAATAAAATTGGACCCCTTCCTGACAACATATATAAAAGTATGCTCAAAATTGATAAAAATCTAAATGTGAAAGCTAAAACCGTAAAGTTTATTTTTTAAAAAATGTGTAAATCATTCATGACTTTAGATTAGACAATTATTTCACTATAGACATTTAAAAGAAAAAGAATAGACCCATTGGAATTCATAAAAATTAAAACCTTTTGTGCCTCAAATGACACTATTAAGAAATGGAAAAGATATCCCATGGAATGAGAAAAAAAATTGCAAATCATACATCTAATAAGTCCCTACCATTCAGAATATGTAAACAGGTCTTACAACTCAACAATAAAAAAAAAATCCAATTATGAAATGGGCAAAATACTTGAATAGATATTTATCCTAAGAAGATATACAAATGGCTAATAAGCACATAAAAAGAGGCTCAGGCCAGGTGCAGTGGCTCACGCGTGTAATCCCAGCACTTTGGAAGGCAGAGGTGGGTGGATCACTTGAGGCCAGGAATTTGAGATCAGCGTGACCAACATGGCAAAATCCTGTCTCTATTAAAAAATAAAAAAATAGCTGGGCCTGGTGATGCACACATGTAGTCCCAGCTACTTGGGAGGTTGAAGTATAAGACTCACTTGAGCCTGGGAAGCATAGATGGGACTGAGCTGAGATCGTGCCACTGCACTCCAGCCTGGGCGACAGAGAGAGACTATGTCTCAATAGTAAATAAATAAATAAATGAGTCAATAAGTAAATAAATAAAGATGCTTGATGTCACTAGTCACTATGGAAACACAAATCAAAACTATAATGACATATCATTTCACACCCATTATGATAGCTATAATCAAAAAAGGCAAAAAAGTGTTGGTGAGAATATGGAGAAATTAGAATTCTCATATATTATTGATAACAAAGTAAAATGGTACAGCTACTGTGGAAAACACTTTGGCAGCTCCTCAGAAAGTTAAACATAGAGTTACCATATAATCCAGTAATTCCACTCCTAGGTATATGCCCAGGAAAGACGAAAACATGTTTAGGCTAAGACATGTCCAGGAATATTCAGCATAATCTGTCACAGCCAAGATTGGAAACAACTCAAACACGCATCCAAATGATAAATGAGCAAATAAAATGTGGTGCACCCATACAATGAAAAATTACTCAGCAATAAAAGGAAATGAATTAGTGATGCACTCTGCAACATGAATGAACCTCAAAATCATTATGCTACATGCAAAAATTCAGTTACATAAAACCACATGTTGTATTATTCCATTTATATGAAAGGTCCAGAATGGGCAAACATACAGACATAGAATAAGTTAGTTGTTACAGGAGACTGGGAAGAAGGAGAAACAGGGAGTGACTGCTAATGGACGTGGGATTTCTTTGGCGGGGAGAACAATAAAAATATTCTGGAATTAGACAGTGGTAATGGTGGAACATCTTCATGAAATATACTAAAAACCAACACATTGTACCAGTTGAACAGGTAAAGTTCATTCTTCATGATATGTAAATTTTTTTCACCACAGAAAAAAAAAAAAAGAGAGAGAGAGAGAAAAGCAAATGGCAGCCAGGTTTGGCCTATGGGCTCTAGTTTGTCAAGGCCTAAACTACACAGACATCGAGCTCTTTAAGACTCTCCTCTAGTGAGGACATTGCATAGCCTAAGTGTCCCTGTGATGTAGCCTGGCGGGTGAGCTAGAGAGGAGCTAGTAGAAGGACATTCGATACATCTCTAGGGAGCCCTGGAAGAATTCCTACAGGAGATAACACCTAAGTGGAGATGGAGAAGATGAGTCCAATGTGGCAACTTGGAAAGGCAAGTGCTGCCCGCTAGAAGGAGGAACATGTCAAGTCCAGGGATTAGGGGAGAGCAGGAGAGCTTCAAAGAATGAGATGGAGGTAGAGGGGTGCAAAGAAACTTTTTAAACTGAGTGAATGAGGTTAGATTATTTTGAAAAGGGAGACAACAGGGAACCATTTAATCATTAACTTTTTTCTTGTGTTTTAACTAAGGTAAGATGTGATGTTTGGATGTGCATTGTATGAGGGTCGCTCTGGCTGCAGAGTCAGGATTCATGCAGAGAAGTAAATGAAAGACTGAGGGCTGGGAGACCCTGTGGAGGTACATAAAGAAATCCAAGCAAGAAGGAAATGAGGGGAGTGGCTGTGGGAAAAAAAGAAACCCCGGCTAGAATCCAGTCCAGGGGAAGTTCCAGGGCACTATCAACTTCCACTCTATAAATGTGTGATTCAAGCCCCTTCTCCACCTCCTTCTCATCACCCTCTCATCTTCACCATTAGCTTCATCAGTCATTACCTCAGGATGAAGAGGAGAGCGGAGAAGCAGAGCTCTGGATCACTTTTCCTTTTTTTTTTTTTTTTTTTTTTTTGAGACAGGGTCTCGCTCTGTCACCCGGGCTAGAATGCAGTGGCTTGATCTCGGCTTACTGCAACCTCTGCCTCCCGGATTCAAGTGACTGTCCTACCTAAGCCTCCCAAGGAGCTGGAATTACAGGTGCACGCCACCATGCGCAGCTAAATTTTGTATTTTCAGTAGAGGCAGGGTTTCACCACATTATCAAGGCTGGACTTGAACTCCTGACCTGAGGTGAACCACCCGCCTTAGCCTTCCCAAAGTGAAGGGATTACAGATGTGAGCCATGGTGCCAAGCCACAGTTCTGGATCACATTTTTTGTCACAAAAAAGTATTTATAATAATAAAAGCACCCGAAATGTATTTGGACACTTTACTACTCTTACAAAGTATTCAGCAGCAGTTAGACAGAGTTGACTTTCCTTGCCTCCTGCTCAGTGGCTGCATCATTCCAGGAAAGTCACTTTGTCTTGCAGTGCCTCCAGTTTCCTCTCATTTGAAGGAATAACAATTTATGTATCAATTAAGTTGAGGGGAGTGATTAGATCACATAGCTAACCTCCTCACAGAGTAACCAGAGAATGGGAAGGCATTTAATAAATTGCAATTACTATAATTATTTCACAATAATTATTTATACTTCCCCACAGTCCCCTGAGGCAGACAGGCCCAGCTCAGGGCTCCATCACTTAGCACGTCTGGGGGAATCTGCTCCAGAGCAAAGTCATGTAGCTTGAACAATCTTATCCAAAAAGTCAGGAACAGAGGTGAAGGAGAGCACATGTCTTCTAAATCGTAATCTTGTTTACATTCTATTGAACCTGATAAACTTGGACCCTTTTTGAAATTGAAGCACGTGGTCCCTACAGGGCTTTTCCAGAACCTCTTGACTTTAAAATTCCCCATCCAAGCTCTTAAAGTAAATCTGTCTGTACCTTATTGGGCTGTTGGCAGCATCAGGGTCTTTGGCATGCACTCTCCCAACCACGGTGCCAGCAGCTGCATTTTCTTGGACTTCATGGATGTAACTTGGGGCCAAGAACATAGGGGGCTCGTCAGCATCTTCTACTGCGATCTTGACGGTCACAGTGTCCTTGAAGGGGCCATTGCTGATAAACTTCGGGTCGATGTGCACGTTGGCTGCCTCTACCTTCAAGCTATAGGCTCTTTTGGTTTCAAAATCTACAGGCTGGCAAGAATGAAGAGAAGATTGACAACCAATTCCTTGAAAGAATAATGGAAGAGAAAGACCTGATTGTTTTATAGGGAAGAGTGAATATTTTCTCAAAGCGAGAAAATCAGAGTCTACTCAATATCAAATTTCCTGAGCCATTTGGTCAGAAAATCACACGAATCAATTGCTGAAACTTAGAATGTGCCTAATGGGTCATTCTAAGAGCATGACAGACACAGAAAGACCATGTCATCTAAAATGAACCTTATTCTATATAGCAACACTAGTGTTGCCCAAATAAGTCACTAAGAATTACCTAAGGAAGGGAATTAAAACACTACAGAAATACATTTCGTACCTCATTCTGAAAAGTAAGAATCTTGGTAACAAAAATACCCACTGAATTTCAGCCAAAAACCATGTCCTTTTTGATGACTGGTTCATACCTCTCCCACCCGCAACCATCCAGCTTGATCATATTGAAAGCTTCATGTTGAAAGTTTCTGACCACGTTCTGTTTCCCAATGTCTGGGACTCTTACCAACAGTGGCCCATAAGATGACATATGGTGGTTTATAGGTAATTTGATAGGTGAGGTTGTCAAATGATATTAACTTACATAATGAGATAATTATTTATTTTCCAAGTCTTTAAATCCTTGACACACCAAGTAGAACACCGTTTTAACATATCTGCTCTGTTTCGCAATCTCTTTTGTGAGTTATTATGATACAACTCTAGCTAGAATGTAATGGCATCGTTTTGGTTTGATTGCATTTATTTTTAAGTTACCTTCTATTTTTGGCAAGTGACAAGATAATGAGGGAAATGTTTCCTTTTTTAAAATGCTTCCTTTTTAAAAAAAAGAATGCATATATATTAAAGATGGTCTATTTAAAGAAAAACAAATGTAAGCAGTAAAATTTTACACAAATATGAAAGAAAAAATGAGTCGTAGCATTTGAATGGCTGTAGTTATAGGGAAATTGATGGTAAACACTGCTTAATTTTGAATGAGAGGAGTTACAGTGAATCAGTCAGCAAAGGATGGAAAGTAACATTGTAGCAGAGAAACAAGCCCTGCTGCCTAGGAAACAACTTTCTAATTAGTGCTCTGGATGTTGCTGAACTACCAAATGTTTGGAAAGAGTTTCATCTTCTAAGGCGAGCATCTGTTGTCATTTGCCTGGCAAACGCTTATTCTGAATGGGCATACAGTCACGGGGTTGATTCCTGATCTAATTTTGCAGTACTCCACACTAAGGCTGATGATCCCAGTTTCAACAGGGTTCAACATGTTCAATATCCTTGATACTTTTTCTATCATCTTCCTACCTCCCTCTTCCCAGAGTCAGGAAACACTACCTTTTTCTGAATCTAAATCTGCCCCCAGCCTTTCCATCATCCTGGGACTCAGCAGTTCCTTTCTCCTTGGCTAGGTTACTGAGCAGCAGTAAGGAAAGATATTTATAGACTGAACATATGAGATTGCTGCAACTTCTAAAAAATGCCTTCAATCATTAGATGCATTAAACGCTGGAATATGATAGTTCTGAGACTGGGTAATTTATAATCAGAAAACAGGACATTTTCTAATATCAGATAGTCTGTTGATCTTACTACAGCAGAATCTTTTGTTCTTGGTTTAGGCATGTGCCTAAGGACCTGCAGCCATTTTCCCACTGGGAAGCCTTGTTGGTGTTGAGGACAATATCCTCATGCTGCAGTTTCACATCCCAAGCTAGGCTCTCCAGCCCTTTGCAGAGGTTTATGTGGGATGGCCTTTCCCAGTTTGGCAAGATTTCAAGTCTGGTAGTCAGTTCAAGCCTCATTGCCTTGTGAAGTCCCCTCAACAGCCCCAGATAGATTCGTGTGGCCCCCTAGTGGCCCTTTGGCAGCCCTTCATTTCCCTCCCCAGCGAGGTGGGGGTGGGAGTGGAATGGAGGAGAGCATCCCTAAGAAGTCTACTGAGTCTTACTGCTCTTTGCTGATCTTTGTCCCACCAGACGCAAGAATGACTGTACCAAGTGGTCATATGCATCCGTTATTTTGACTGAATGAGGAGTGGGGTTGATAGATGCTTAACATTTAGACATTTGCCTACAATTTATTCCCTTCCTCCCTCCAAAAAAGATGTGAGGTAGTTTCCCATGTGAACATTTATATCCATGTTATGAGTAGTTGAAATAAAGCTAAATGAGGCAACACATTGCATAAGCCATAAAAATCTTAATACCCCCTAGTTTACTAATCCCACCTCTGAAAATCTTCCCTGAGGGATTAATTCAACAGAAAACCAAAACAAACAATATTCAAAAATGCATGATATTTGTTAGATATAATAGAAGGTTATATCTAATCTGTGGAAATATACACACAAAACACGAAATCCAACTGTGAGGTTTTATTAAGGAAATAATGATTCGTCAATAGGATGGGATGTTATGTAGTCATTAAAAATGATTATGTACATTATATAACAGCATGTAAAATGTTTATGATGTGACATTAAGTTAACAAATCAGATCACCCTCTGATTGCAGCCGTGTTAAATGTTATGTATCCACATCTATATATGTGCGGACAAAGAATATAAAGAAAAATCAAACATAAAAAGAGTTTTATTAAAACAGGGAATATTAAAAATGCCTTCTAATTCTGCTCTGACACTGCTTTACAAGGAGTTTATTTGGTTGAAAATAAATAGCTCAGACACTGTGCGGTGATTTCTCTGAGATAGATGGGATTCCCATTCAGCCAAAGGTGCTGCGTGAACAGATCAGATTTTCCCCGCTAAGTCCACGAAACCACCTAAAACCTCACCTTTATTTGACCCCGGTTCTTCCTCAGCTAACCACATAGAGACTGTCTAAATACCCCAAGGGTAATTTCTCTCTCCCCTGTTCACCATTAAACTAAGAGAGTCAGAACGCAAGAGGGATTTATTGCTTTCTAAAATATTCGATAAATGAATGATTCTATCTAGTAATTATTTCTTGAATTCTTCTCCTTCACTACCGTCTCACTACCTCTTCTACCTTCTTCAATTCTTTGTAATGTCCCCCTTGAATTTGAACAAGTTTGTTCATTGGTTTTACTGTATCTATCTTGAGACTCTCAAGATTGAAGGTATTGCAGCTTCTTAAATGTGTCCTGTTTCCATTGATACTAGCCATTCATGAGTTATTTTTTTCTGCCTTTTCTGTCCTTAACTATCCAGCAAATTCCTCCTCATCTATCAAGACTCAGCTTGAGAACTGCCCCCCCAAGAAGTCATTCATGACCCACGTTCATAGGTCTTATCACACTATTGCAGGCAATTTTCAACTGGGGAGTGATTTTGCTCCCAGTTACTCCAGGGATATTAGGCAATGTCTAGAGTAATTATTTTTATTATTATTATCAGGACATTGGGCTGGGGTAGAGCATGTGCTTAATGACCTTTATTGAGGGGAAGCCTGGGATACTAGATACTACCAAGTATCCTACAAGGCGCAGAACAGCCCCTTACAACAAAGAATTATCCAGCCCAAGACGTCAACACCGCTAAGGCTGAAAAAACTCTCTCAGTTTTAATTATTGTTTCACTTCACTGTCCTGTTAAATTGTGAACTCCCTGTGGTCAGGACTCTGTCTCTTCAACTTTAGATTTCCAGCCTCTGGCAAAGGGCCTGACAAATAATAAGAACTCAGTAACTCTTAGTGGAAAAATGGGTGAATAAATTAGGAAATAAATAAAAATACTAAGCTAAAAAAGACTTTAAAATGCAGAAATAGTGCCATAATGTCTCTATAGACTTTTATGGTATTAAATTGCATGTAACAACTTTCACAAGGAGTCATATTTTTACTCTGTTAAATTCATCTTTAATTTTTCTTTTTTTTTCCCCTGGTGGACATTTGGAACTTTGTGCTACAAGTTTGAGCAAATGTTCTTTTACAAATGAAATAACATCTTACACTGTTTAAAACCTAAACGTCAGTGTTTTATAGAAGATTATTCCTTTGCCTAGAATAAACACACTGAATTGGAGGCAAATGTGCAAATTAATCATATGCAGAGAGCTCATTTGCGATGTGTGAGTTCCATGGGGGTGATTTAAATGCTTCAGGATTTCAGAGATACAGTGTGTGTTTATGCCCTGAATACACTGAAAACAGGTGACAACCTTAGCATAACCAACTACCCAATTACATGAACAGCAAAGGATGGGAGGCAGGAATCTTTGATGTCAATGTTCATATGTCAGTGTCAAGCAGAAGAGATAGTAATATTAATTAACAAAGTAAGTTGACAGCTCTAGGCAACACACAATTCGCACAGCTACTTTTCCAGAGGAGAAACCGGAATTAGTGATGACTACCCTGGCTCCCTGTGGTTGATAATTAGGCTTCCTCAGTCCTACCATTCATCCATTAATGTAGACTTTTCCAAGTATCCAAATTTCACCCCAATTTCCATATCCTTCATTTTCTTTATTTTTTTTTATAACAGTCACTCCCTACCTTCTCATTGTTTTGTGCCCCGTAATATTTTCCCCAACCCCAACACACTTTAAAATGTTGTAAAAGGCCAGCTTCTTAGCACAGGTCACTCCTTGCTCCCCCACCTGAAAGATTCCTTTCAGGACCAGTCTTCCCCCACTGGTCCATCCTTGCCTCCTCTTTAGCTACTGACCTCTTTATTGATTCTTCAAATTAACTTTCTATCAGTGTTACAGTCCAATCTTTTCCACCACACCAATATGCATGCTACAAAACCAAGTTGAAAATGAATGCTTGATTAAAACCAAGGTAATCCCATCCTCCAATTCTGATTTAATGCTCCATACACTTTCATGATAGAGAGGTGTTGATTTCTCAAATGGTAAATCATGGGGGGAAACCATTTTAGAATGTATGGGAACTATTTCTCCACTTGGAAGTGAATCTTATCTGGCTCTCCTTTACAAACACTTTTTGGGTCAGCTGTTTTCAGAATGTCTTGAGAGGGAAGTTGTTCTAGAATAACCACGGTGTGAATTCCAGGTCTGCATGCTTGAGCTGTGTAACAGTGACTGGGTCAAACGATTTCATTTGTCTGAGCCCCAATCTCCTCAAAATTAAGTGGAGGTCTCTTTGCCAATTGGGATAATACTACCTACTTTATACTTTTTGTTTGTTTGTTTGTTTTTGTTTTTGTGAAAAGTTAATGAAATGATGTTTGTAAGAGGCTGGTGCTCTGTCTGGCCAGTAGTTAATGTTGAGTGAATGTAAAAAAGAAGAAACACTAAACTTCTCTTTGTAATAAATTAATCCCAGAGACATGTTTTTGATGACTGACTCTGGGGGAAGGTCCATAGACTACCTGACTATGAAAGGAGGTCCACAGGCTATTTGACTATAGGAGAAGGTCCATTATTGTTGCTTCTCCAGGTTCACTTGAGATAAAAACAAGCAGAGAATTGACTTAAGTTTCACAGAGGGTCCAGCAATGCAGTGAACCTTGAATGTTCAAACAAGAAGAGTTCTGAACAGCCTATCAAACAGATTCAGTGTGGCAGAGCTAAGGGGGCAATTCCATGCATGCTCAGGGCTGCTTCTTCAAAATCTACATTTATTTCATTGTCCTTCCCGCCATGAGAGAACTGTGCTTCCCTCCATCGGAAAACATTTAAGAACTGACTAGCAATCTCAGGCAGGTATCACCAGCCCCTTTTGTCAGCTTCTCCGCAGTAACAGAAAGGAATATAATTCTGTGATCTTCCAGGGCTCAGAGCTCAACTACAAAGCCGGGTCGGCCCCAGGTTTCGCAAATTCTCATTTCTTAACCGTCGCCTCCCTATTTCTTTCAGTGTTGCCTTGGCAGAGCAGGTCACACCACTGACATATCTGATTCATTACCCTAACTCACCTTTTTCAGCTTTATCACCCCCTCCTGGGTTTCATAGTCCGTTGTGATTTCAAACAATTCCATACCATCTCCATCAACAATACTGTATGTGACTAAGCCATTTTCTCCAATGTCTGGGTCTTTAGCTTTCACTCTTCCTACTTCCTCCCCAGGGACGGCTGCTTCTGACACAGACATCTGGTATACACCTAGAAGAAGAAGACACCTACTTTTATTTTCCCTTTTATTTGGCAGCTGTAAGACTAGATTTCATTGAATCCCAATAAATTTCTCAAAGGATTTGAAATTGAACTTTCTATTGACTGAAAACATGAAAGAAGTGAATGGATGTGGGGAGGAAGATCCCACATGGCCTGCTTGTCAAAAGAATGTGTTCTATGAAGGGTAATAAAGCAATATCTGGGTCCAGGTGAAATGCTGGGGTCACCTGCCACATGTAAGGGAGGAAAACAATGCTGTGTTACATTTCCCATCAGGTAATGAGGGAGAACTATGCATGTCTTCATTTATCGAAATAGCTGAAGATTCTTTTCATGTCTTCAGGATGGTCCATGAGTTAACTCCAAGACTCACTTATGGTATTGCCAACAGCCCAGGAAAAAAAAAAATCTGTTTAAAAGCCTTCCTTCAGCAGCTCCATATTTACTTTAAAAATGCAAACTTTATCTTTAACATCACTCCCTGTCTAACTCTATATTTGACACTCCCCTTATTTCACCTCCTTCACAACTTGCCTCCTTCACAAGTTGGTCATGCATTACCTTCTCCAGAAAGCTTTCTTGCAGTGTGACCCTCCTATATATTTATTTCATGTTTATTGGGAGCCTAATACTGTACATGGAGGTACCGTCCTAGTGCCAGGACACTGTTTTATTTGGTTGTTTTGTTTACTACTAAACAATACAGTCAAGATTCCTCTCCTAATGAGGCAGACTAAAGAGAAAAAATAAAAACAAATGCAAACACACTCTGATGTCACTGCACTGAAAAAGGAAAAGAAAGTAGGGTAAAAGGGTGAGGGTTCTGAGAGTGGATGTGTGGTTGTGTGTGTATAAGTGCATGATTGTGTGTGAGGGGCTAAATGTGTGAGTGGCTGTTGAGTGATCGTGTGGGCATGAATCTGTTGTGTAAGAGTGTGAGTGTGTGTATGAATGTGAGCTATTTGTGAGTGAGTCTGTGTATGTGTATGAGTGTGACTGAACGTGCATGCTTGTGTTAATAATGTGTAGGTGAGAAGCAGAAAGAGGCAGAGAGATTGATTTTGAGTAGTGTGGTAGGAGAAGACATTCTTTAGAAAAAGGAATCTAAAAAGACTGAGGAAGACAATGATGTGAATATCTGCAGGATAAAAGCTACAGGCCAGGTGATTAGCAAGTGGCAAATACCCTAAGGTGAGAAGATCCTGAAACCTGCAGAGGAATAAGAGGAGGAGAGTGACTCCAGCCTTCTGGTGAGAGAGAAGGGCATGTAGGGAAGTGGAGGCCAAATTGCGTAAAATAGACCATTGTGGGTTTCAGGTTTTGTTTAAACTTGGAGAAATCACTGGAAGGTTTTCAGTAAGTAGCTGAGATTCAACATTATCTTATTTGCTTTTCACATTTAATACTCTGTGTGCGACACAATATGGAGAAGCCAGGGTTGAAAATCTTGCCTCTATCATTTCCAAGCAAAGTGGTCTTGGGCAAGTTACTTCTGTTCATTATGTTTTAATTTCCCCTTACAGAGATTTCATCAGTTCCAAGACTTTGCCTATATTTATCGATAGTATTTCGCTTTGCAACTTTCTTTTGGATTCATAATCTATTTAATCTCACCATGCCCTCTATATTAAAGGACGAGTGGGAAGTGGGAGTCCCTTGTAGATAATTAGCAATTAATATGAAGGTTTAAAAAAACTGTCCTATGCCGATTTTCTCCAAATCTCATTCAAGTTCATGGCAGCGAAACCAGTACAACCAGTACAGTAGTAATGTATCTTTTCTACATGATTGTCTATGACCAAGGGCAGTAAAGGCTGCCTGCTAATAATTCTGCTTGACCTTTCTTTTCCAGCACATCAGACAATCGTACAGTGTGGATAATGGAGCATGCAGCTCTTAGAATGTTATATGAGCCTCAGGCTTATTGAGGATGCTGAACTTGTGCCCAGCCAGGCAAAAGATTCTTGTGTAGATTCTTGTTTTTGAATTCCTTTGAGTCACCACAGTGCCTTCCTGGGGCCACATTTAGTTGCCTTCCTTGTTATCTCATTTGCAAAATGTTCCATTTCTCTGATAGTAAGCTCACAGGCTCTAATGAGACACTTTCATGATGAACCCCCCATGCATTAGCAGCACCAGCAGCACCACAGTCATACCGTCCATCCATACACATCTGTACATACAGAGACAAACTTGTGCTCAAACTCTGACTTTGTCATATTTCTAGGGCAACTTATGCAGTTTTTATGGAAGCCAGTCTTATCTGTATAATGTAGGCTCTTGCAGAGATTTACAATAGCAGTGACTATTCATTAAATGATGGTAGTTGCTATAATTACAATTATTAATAATAACCTTTCAAAATCATTTTTTTCATTTAATTCCCTTCACAATGTTATGAACGTTGTGGAACAGCCATAATCCCCCAGATAACAATGGCTAGAATTTGTTGACAACTTATAGACAGTTGTCATTATAAGATTTTACACTAGCTCCTTTAGTCCAAACAGTAATTCTATTAATTAGGTACCGTGGAAGATGGCATATTCCGAAACATGGCCCAAACAATATCTCCCATCCCACATGCTTTTCCTTCAACATGACTTTGACAGGTCTTCCATTGAAAGGTGGAGTCTACATAAACTCCACTTAGATTTGTGCAGCCTGATGACTCCAGTGGAAACCATGCGATGTGACTTCTGAAGCTAGTTAGCAAAAGGCAACACAGTTTCTGCCTGGTGCCCTTGGGAATCACACGTTCCAAAACCAGCCCACACAGAAAGGAAGCAGCAATCAACACACACTTGCCAGCCATGCAAGTAAGCGGGTTTGGAAGTGAATCCTCCAACCCCAGTGGAGCTGTCCCCAGCTGTTGCTGTGGGGAACAGAGGCATGCTGTCTCCTCCAAGCCTTGCCCAAATTCCAGACACATGATAAAAACAAATTATTATTATTTTCAACCACTGTTTTCCAGCAATTTGTTACATAGTAATTGATAACGGATTCAAGTCCTGTTATATCCAGGTTAGAAATGGGAACACTGAGGCAGAAAAGGGTTCATTAATTACTAGATTGCATCACGACTACCAAGCAAAATACTTAGCAAAAACAGTATTTTGTTTCCAGGGTTGTGGAACTTTTTACATCTTTTCATTCTCCTACTACCTCTACTCCCCGACATTGTTATTGCTGTTATTGTCTTGTTTTTGTGTTTTGTTTTTGTAAGAATGATATGAACTGCCCCTCGTTTCCTAGATTTTCTTTTTGATACCTGAGTAAAGCAGGAATAGGTTAGAGGAGGCAGAGGGCTGGCTGTGGCACCATGGAAAAGGGAAAGTCAAGCCCACCTACTTACTCTGTGGAAACTTTGGTGGGTTGTCATTGACATCAGTCAGTGTGATCGTCACTTTGGTTGTCCCTGAGAGTCCGCCCATATGTCCACCCATGTCCTTGGCCTGGATCACCACGTGGTACTCCTCCTTGGCCTCCCTGTCCATGTTGGGTAGGGCTGTTCTGATGATACCTGGACAGGTGAGCAGGCAACATCACAGATATTCATTTATAACATTATGACAAGAAAGTTCTGAGCACTGAGGAAGCAATGCTGAATAAAATAGCTCATGCCCTGGGCAAGAATCATTTCAACATGACAATTACAACCAAAAGCAGTCATACTGAAGCATCATTATGTCTTTTCAAGCAAATCATAAAACTTACTATACAACATTTGCATTTATGTTTTCCTGTACATGCAAGTAATAACCTTATTCTTCTCAGATATAAACACCCTAAAGACTGAAATATTTGAGTGGCCATTGCATGGATATCCATGACTAAACTCATACTTTTTGACTTCCAGCACAATCTTCTCTAAGTCAATTGCTGCACACAATTCACGGAAATGTTCTGATGGTGCATATTACGTTTAAAGTAGGAGGTGCATATTTCATGCAATACATTAAAATGTAAATATTAATTTGTAAAAGAGTGAACCAAATGGGTTAAATATATACAATGCTCATACAAGCATGTACTATTATCACATGTCACTGAAAACAATGATAAGTTAATAACTGAATTCTACATGATTGCTGGATATTGGCACGTGTGCCATGCTCACTTAAATCTTTAGGAGACATTTGGAAGCTTTTTCTCTCTGTAGATATGGTAACAGTTACCTGAGAAATATAGAGAGCACTGTAGAAGCCTTAGTCCTTATTGCTGTCTTACTTCTGGCATTAAAGTTGAGTTTTTAGATTATATTTGTTATTGGGTCATCGTGAAATATGAAAAAAACAATTATAAATGTTTCACGGTGTGCTAACTATGTGCCAAGCACAGGCCAATATCTAATCCTCACACTAACCCTGTAGGGTAACCCTCTTTATTCCTTTTTCATATTTGATCAAACAGATAATTGAATAAGTTCTGATCAGGCCTGGGACTTCTTATTCACCATGTGTCAGTCACAGTGACATTCCACAGTACCTGTCTGTGCTTCCACCGAAAAATAGGGTTGTCCTTCGAGGATACTGTACACTAACTTGGCACTATTTCCGTAAGTGGGGTCATCTGCATCTGAAGCTGTCACCTGGATTACTGACGTTCCTTAAAAGTGAAATAAATTAATTAGCAACATCCTCTCAGCTTTTCAAAGTATGTTCTTGTTTGCAAAGTTTTATTTTAAAATTAACCCTGAAGAAGGCACCACAATTATTCAACATTCTCTCATTTTCCTGGAGTTGAGATGCAAAGCAACCAGCCAACCAACCTTCCTTCCTTCTCTATAAAAATGCCCACAGTTTAAAAATGAACTTTCTGTATTTATAGTACATCCTGCATTGGTTGGTGATTAAAATAATATTACAAACATTGCAAACATATCTTACAACTCATGCACTTGAAATGTTCAGTATATCAAATAATTACATTAAAATCTTCCCAAAGAGTATAATAAATGATAATTAACGATAAATTGCTTTCATGAAAGGACAGAGTGCAATCTTCCATCTGTAGCAGAACAATAAATACATCACTTTATTGTTGCTTTGCATGTAATAAAATTGCTGCTAATACTACAATTTAATTAATTTATGGCCATAAATATTGAGCAGAATGTTGTTCCCTACTGGCATGAAAATTGCATCTTCCCACCTGTAGCTGGTCTGGTAGTCATGTAACAGAAATCACCAGTAGACATCTGGTGAGAGGTAAGGGGAGCATTCATGGGTCAGAATGAAGGGAAACCAGAAAACTGAAGAAAGATGGGGCTCTGTTTTTCCTAAAAACAACTTTTGTTCCTGGCTGGTCACAAATAGCAAGTATCTGGGGCATGGCGTGCTGGGCTTCAGAGTAGGGAGAAAGGAGCTGGAAGAAGAAAACCAGCAATTATCGAATTTCTCTGTGCCAGCATGATTTGGGGGCACATTCCATGTATTTTGCCAGCATTCCTCTGCTGGGCATTTTTTACATCCACTGTAATATTGAGAAATTGAATATGAGATATATGAAGCTTTGTAATCTATTTCACAAAGTTAGTAATTGCCGAAGTCTAACCCCAATCCAGCACGCAACAAAACTCAAGTTCATTCTGTAACATTTTCAGCAGAGGGGCAAGGTTCTACATGGGAGGCAAGGGAGCCACTTTACACAGCCTCTCACCACCTTTAATTTATAGGGTTGTCAGTGATTTTTGTGTGTTGTACATCTCACTTTTTTCTAGTTATTCTTCTATAATTCATTATTTCATAGAAACAACCTCTTTGGAGCTCTTCCCATTTGTCAGTCACTATTCTAGGCAGGATAGATTTATAAAGGAAAATACCATCATCCCGTGGCTAGGGAAATTATTAATTTTTAATGCTTAATTTCCTTCTAGAACTCTGCTACATCCTTTACAATGGTTTTGTATTTCACATCTATTTCATTTAACCTTCAACATAGTTTATATTATCCTCATTTTATAGATGGCAAAATGAAAACCTAGAAAGCTATAACAGGTTGCCTGGGTTCGCATGGCTGATTAGGAGTGCAGCCATGATTCACAGTACTGTCTGACAACAAAGACTATACTGTCATATGCCGTAATACAATGTCTGAGTCCTCAAAATAATAAGGGCCATCCATGACAAAGCCACATCCAGCATCACACTGAATGAGCAAAAGCTGGAAATATTCTCCTTCAGAGCAGGAATAAGACAAGGATGCCCACTCTCACCAGTCCTATTCAACATAGTACTGGAAGTCCTAATCAGAGCAATGAGGCAAGAGAAAGAAATAAAAGACATCCAAATAGGAAAAGAAGAAGTCAAATTATCTCTCTTCACTAATGATATGATTCTATGCCTAGAAAACTCTAAAGACTCTGCCAAAAGGTTCCTAGAACTGATCAACAACTTCAGTAAAGCTTCAGAATACAAAATCAAGGTACAAAAACCAATGGCATTTCTATACATCAATAACACTCAAGCCGAGGGCCAAATCAAGAACACAGTGTAATTCACAATAGCCACAAAACAATAAAATACCTAGGAATACATCTAACCAAGGAGGTGAACTATCTCTACAAGGAGAATTTCGAAACACTGCTGAAAGAAATCATAGATGACACAAACAAATGGAATATTGATCCTTCAATGGTATTGATTCTTTCAACCCATGAGCATAGAATGTTTTCCCACTTGATATCATTAAAATGGCTACACTGCCCAAAGCAATCTACAGATTCAATGCTATTTCTATCAAACTGCCAACATCGTTTTTCACAGAATTAGAAAAAAAAAAAAATGTTCTAAAACTCATATGGAACCAAAAAAGAGCCCGAATAGTCAAAGCAATCCTAAGCAAAATGAACAAAGTTGGAGGAATCACCTTACCCAACTTCAAACTATACTACAAGGCTACAGTAACCAAAATAGCATGTTGCTGGTGCGAAAACAGACACACAGACCAATGGAACAGAATAGAGAACCCAGAAATAAAGCCACACACCTCCAGTCACCTGATTATCAACAAAGTTGACAAAATTAAGCAATGAGGAAAGTACTCCCTAATCAATAAATAATGCTGGGGTAGCTGGCTAGCCTGATGCAGAAGAATGGAACTGGACCCCTACCTTTCCCCATATACAAAAATTAACTTAAGGTGAATTAAAGATTTAAATGTAAGACCTCAAACTATAAAAGCCCTAGGAAAAAACCCCAGGAAACACCATTCTGGACATTGGCCTTGGGAGATAATGTATGACTAGGTACTCAAAAGCAATTGCCACAAAAATAAAAATTGACAAGCAGGACCTAATTACACTAAAGAGCTTCTGCACAACAAAGGAAACTATCAACAGAGTAAAGAGACAACCTACAGAATGGGAGAAAATATTCACAAACTACACACCCAACAAAGGTCTAGTATCCAGAATCTATAAGGATTTTAAACCATTCAACAAGTTAAAAAACAATGTCATTAAAAAGTGGGCAAAAGACATGGATGGACACTTATCAAAAGAAGATATGCAAATGGCTAACAAACGTAAAAAAAAAAAATTGGTCGTCACTAAACATCAGAGAAATGTAAATCAAACCAATAATGAGATACCATCTCACACTAGTTAGAACAGCTGTGATTAAAAAGTCAAAAATAACATGCTGGTGAGGATGTGGAGAAAAGGGAACACATATGCATTGTTGGTTGGAATGTACATTAGTTCACTCTGAAAAACAATTTGGAAAAGTCTCAAATAAAACTACAATTAAAGGCTGGGCACAGTGGCTCATGCCTGTAATCCTAGCACTTTGGGAGGACGAGGTGAGCGGATCACCTGAGGTCAGGAGTTCAGATCAGCCTGGCCAACATGGTAAAGCCCCTTGTGTACTAAAAATACAAAAAAACTAGCCAGTGCAGTGGTGGGCACCTGTAATCCCAGCTACTCAGGAGACTGAGGCAGGAGAATCGCTTGAACCCAGGAGGCAGAGATTGCAGTGAGCCAAGATCGTGCCACTGCACTGTAGCCTGGGCAACAGAGTGAGATTCTGTCTCAGAAAAAAAAAAAAAGTTACAGTTCAACCCAGCAATCCCATTACTCTCTATAGACCCAAAGGAAAATAAATTGTTCTACAAGAAAAACGCCTGCCTTTGTATATTTATTGCAGCACTATTCACAATAGCGAAGACATGGAGTCAACCAAGGTGTCCATCAACAGTGGATTGGATAAAAAATATGTGGGGTGTGTGTGTGTGTATATATATATATACACATACACACACACACATACCCTGGAATACTATGCATGGTGGCATGAATAGTATCATGCCTTTGCAGCAACACAGATGCAGCTGGAGGCCATTATCCTAAGCAAATTAACACAGGAACAGAAAACCAAATACCACATGCTTTCATCTATAACTGGAGGCTAAGCATTGGGTATAAACGGACCCAATATTTACTCAGTGGGCATAATATACATGGGATTACTAGAGTGGGGCGAGAGGGCAACTGCTGTAATCTATTGGGTACTCTGTTCACTACCTGAGTGATGGGGTCATCCATACCACAAACCTCAGTGTTACACAGTATATTCATGTATATTCACTCAATAAACCTGCACATGGGCTGGGCACGGTGGCTCACATCTGTAATCCCAGCACTTTGGGACGCTGAGGTGGGCAGATCACTTGAGGTCAGGAGTTCAAGACCAGCCTGACCAATATGGTGAAACCCCATCTGTACTAAAAACACACACACACAAAAAAAAATTAGCTGGGCATGGTGGTGCGCACCTGTAATCCCAGCTACTCAGAAGGCTGAGGCAGGAGATTTGCTTGAACCCGGGAGACAGAGGTTGTAGTGAGCCGAGATAGCATCACTGCACTCCAGCCTGGGTAACAGATGGAGACTGTCTCAAAATAAAATAAAATAAAATAAAATAAAATAAAAAATAAAATAAAATAAATAAAATAAAATAAAATAAACCTGCACAACCACCCCCAAAAAAAAAAAAAAAAAAAACAAAAAAAAAAAAAAAAAAAAAAAAGAAAGCCTGAATGTTATACCTAAACATCAATGAGCCCACAAAGGTGAGAATAATGATGAAAATTTCCCCGGATTATATATTTTGATGACTTGACTTTCCACCCCGTCCCGACCCCTGACACTCAGTTGCTGACACTGCTGTTCCCTCTATATGGATTTATTTGATATTTGTTGTTTCTCATTATAATACACATGCTAAACACCAAGAGGCTGAAGGACTGGGCAGGGAAAATGGAAGAGACAAAGGTGGGAAATGGCTCAGACTGGCTTTTGATAAGTACCTGACTTTTCCTTGTGGAGAAGGAATGCACCAGTTTCTGGCATAAAAAGCTCTGTATGCACAGTGGAAGGATCCTAGCATTCTAGAGTCAAACCTACCTTTCTTAAGTAGGTTGATTTCCTATACTGGGTGCTGGGTTTTCTCGTCTGTAAAACGATCCTGAATTCATTTGAGCTCTAAGACTCTTTTAAGCAGACTCATTCCCTGATTAGAACAGTTCTACTCACTGTTTGGAAGACAAACCTTTCTTAATATGAGGAATGTTTCTCAAAAGAAACATTATATAAATGTTTCATTATGTGCATGTTATAAAGAAAGCTATTGCCAGAAGGTGGCTAATTCTTTGAAGAAATCTTTCAAAAAATTATCCTTTAGCAACTTAATATGTCTTCAAGCACGTTGCAAAGATATACCTACTTCTGAATTAATACGACATAGTGCTGTGGCTAAATGTGCATTTTAGATCCATTTAATTGCACAAATGTCCCTAAAGAAATTAGTTAACTTGTTTCTGGCGTGGGTTTCCTATCTGCGAAATATGGTGAGTAGGAATTACCCTACTGTAAAGATTAATCATTGCAAAAACTAAATAAAATAGTGCATGTAAGTCATTAATTAGCACAGTGTCTACAGGCAACAAATATTACCATTGTCATTACCTATTAGACATCAATATGCCCTAGTGACTGAATGTGCATTAGCACAAAAGAATTTTTGTTCCTTTTGTTATTTTGCCATAAAAGATACAGAAGAAGCTCTACCTCCTGATTTGGAAGAACGGGCTTCAGCCCACCCACCACAGAGACACCAGGCCTGGAAGCAGAGCAGGCCTCTCCCACGATACGCACCCACATTGGACCTCTCGGGCACGTTGGCATGATAGGTCTCATGCAGGAACTCCGGAGGGTTGTCATTAATGTCCTGGACCTTGACAATGAATTCTGATGGTGGCTCCAGTGGCCGGTTGGTGTCCCTGTCCACCGCCTGAGCCATCAGCGTGTACTGGGCTCTCTCTTCTCGATCCAATGTCTTGGTGGCATGAATGTTCCCTGATTTGTCATCAATCACGAAAATGGTTCCAGCTCCTTCACCTGAGAGAATGTATTTGATGTTCCCATCACCAGAGTCAATATCCGAATGAAGCTGGAAAAAAGAGAAATTGAGATTTTTAATTTCATGAGGAATGCAGTGGGGAAACTCACTTACAAGTGATTGCAACAATCTGCTGCACACACACACGCCAGGAAAGGGAGATGTTCTCATCCTATTTTACAACAGGAGAAAGGCAACCTTAGAGAATATCATAGCCATGGCCAAGGTCACACTGCAGAACAGTGAAGCCAGAGTTCAAATATATATATATGTGTGTGTGTGTGTGTGTATATATGTGTGTGTGTATATATGTATACATACATATACACACATATATATGTATTTTTAATTCTAAGATTCATGCTCTCCCTTCACCTCTTTCCATATATATGCACATATACAAAATACAAAAACCTAAACATGTCTCAATAGTTTGAAATAAATGTGTGTTTATTTTTAAAAACATATAAGCAAACATTCATGCAATAAGTAAGTCTTCCTCTCAACTCTGACTCCCGTTCCTTCATTTTCTCCTCTGCTCAGAGATTACCACTGTAACCAGTTTCTTATGAATCCTATAAGAGATATTCTGTTCTATGCATATGCAAGGAAATCTACACAAATACATATGGGCCCTAGTTTATTGTTATACAGTAAAGTTCCAGAGTACACACACCATTCTTCACCTCATCCTTTTCCTCTAACAATAAATTCAGGTGACCATTCCACGTTTATAACTATAGATCTTCCTCATCCACTGTATGGAGGTTATTATCTTTTTTTAAAATTTTTTGTTTTAGGGGTTTGTTTTTGAGGTGGAGTCTCACTCTGTCACCCAGGCTGCAGTGCAATGGCGTGATCTCGGTTCACTGCAGCCACCACCTTCCATGTTCAAGCGATTTCTCCTAAATCAGCCTCCCAAGTAGCTGGGATTACAAGCACATGCTACCACACCCAGCTCATTTTTGTATTTTTAGTAGAGACAGGGTTTCACCATGTTTCCCAGGTTGGTCTCGAACCCCTGACCTCAAGTGATCTGCCTGCCTCAGCCTCCCAAAGTGCTGGGAATACAGACACGAGCCACCACGCCCGGCCAATGGTTTTTTTGTATTTTTTTTTTTTTTAGCAGTCCCCTTCTAAAGAACACTTAGCTTGTTTCCTGGCTTTTGTTACTACAAACAATTGAACTGATCAAATCTTTCCAGAAGGCCTGCTTTGCCGTACACAGGGTATGAGGATTTGGGGATGTGGCCTGCCTGGAAGAAGTGTCCATCCTAACCCTAAAGGCAGGTAGACTAGTTGTATGGGTTGGTATGTATATAATTTCTTAGGTGTCAGAAAGAATCTTAAACATCCCCAAGTTTGTCTTCTTTGACAGAGCTTAGAGATAAGATGATATTTGCCTAAATTCACACTTGTAAGGTCCAAGAAATCAACTAGGTCTCTTAACTTCCAACCATCTTCTGTTCTACCTCACTCTGCTCTGTGTTTTCAAACATGAAAGTCTCCAAAAATAACATCTGGTTTTCCTGTAGCAAAAACACTCCTCACCCCACCTTGCTGTTCAACCTCAATTTCTGCAGCTGTCATTTAAATCTGAGGTCCTTGGTCCTCATTCTGCCCTTTGTGGGAAAAAGCAAGCATTATTTTTACTGTTCTAGTGGGTTTCAAGAGCAGTCAAGTAGAGAAAAAGACCTTGGTTCTACCTACTAAGTAAGAAAACCCATTGCAAACTAGAGAGCTTTATTCAAATGGTATTTAAAATAATAAAAAAGAGGTCAGGCACATTGGCTCATGCTTGTAATCTCAGCATTTTGGGATGCTGAGGCAGGTGGATCACTTGAGGTTAGGGGTTCGAGAACAGCCTGGCCAATATGCTGAAACCCCATCTCTAGAAAAAACACAAAAATTAACCAGGCACGATTAATTTAATTAATTTTAATCAGCTAATTAATTAAAATAAAAACTATGATTATCAATGCCATTTAAACAGTAATAATATTAATAGTATTATTTATTACTAATGCCATTTTCATATTTTTGTGAAAATTGGTATTTTATTATTTCAATTTAAATTATTACTATGAGACTAAGGCCTAGAGACCTTACCTCATGATTATTATTATGCGACTAAGGCCTAGAGACCTTGCTCATAAAGCAAGGTTGAATACATTGATTTTTAAATATTTCGTTTTCTTTCAATTTCCCCAAAGATATCTAACTGATTTGCAGTGCTTCAGTGAAACCCCATTATTTCAGCTTGGGGAGTTACCTGTAGGTACAAATTACAAAGACCATTTTGTTTTTAGTACTCTTTGTTTCTCGGAGGAAAAAATAAACAGACTTTTCTTCAGAATTTATTATTCATAACAATGTGTTGTCATGAAATTATGGCTAACACATTTCTGATGAATAAGTCCATTTGACAGTAAAACACAAAGCTGTTTGATGGCCTAGGACGGATGAACAGAATTGCCCCAATCTTCATTCAGTCAAGTTTCCTTAATGAAGGCAAAGTTTTTGCCCCAACTCCCATCTCAGGGAAGGCTTACCTTTGTTCTTCTGCTTACCCTGCTGCAGACCTGGCAGAAGTTAAGGGCAAAGACGTACGAATGAGGAACAAGAAAGTATAAATACAATGCTGACTTTAATGGGAATGCCCAGACATTGAATCTTTCTAGAGGCCTTCCTATATTACATATAAATTTGGCAAGTTTCTTGAAAATTAACCAGATCTATTTCATGATCAGCCAAATAACTAAAAATTTAACAAAACATTTCCTATTATTTTTCTACTTTGTTTTCAGGTTGGAAAGTTGGATATAACTTCCCTTTTTTGTATCTAACAAAGATGATTTATGCAATTGACACGGATACTTACTAGGCTCCACACACATACACACACACACACACACACACACACACAACAAAACAACATAGTTTCAGAAACCATTCAGCGCTATCAAGGGATCCAGTTGCTGAGGCATACACAGCCAATTCCTAACTCCAAAGACGAATGACTTCCCTCTCTGCATAGCACAGCATGACACAGGCTGTATTTCCACAAGAAATCCGGAAGTCCATGGTTTACCAAATTTCACTTTTTCAGGGCATCTTGAGTATTCAACCTTGAATGTCAGCAAATCAAAGGTTGTTAGGAAATAAACCATCTACTCCATCCCTCCTATTTCTAGGGAACTGTCTCAGCACATTTCAGAAGAAAGGTCCACAGGACCAACCAATTTATTTACTTTTCCCCTATCCAACCCAACATCAGATTCATCCTCATGCACCTAGGTTTTGAAGGTCACACAGCATGAATAATACTAGAGTTTTCCTTTTCCCTCTTTTTTTTTCTATATTTTCTTCTAGTAGGCACGACAATTGCGTATTCCACAGAGATGCTGAAATGACTCTCCAGATCCTGTTTCTTCTGCAACCCCCAACCTGAACACACACACACTGCTTCCCATTGAGAAAGTCCCCGAAGCAGAAGGTTCTATTCATATCTCAGAATGATTCATACACAGCCCTTCACATCATTCAAGCTCCACATCCCTTGCCATGGCTGAAATCTATTTTTCCTCTCTGGGCACACAGCCCATCTCCTCTACTTAGGGAATTCCATATGCCAATTATTTCCATTTCCATTTCTCACGTCGACTTCCACATATTTCCATTTGGGATATAAATGAGTGAAATTCCTTTGGTACATCTTCAAGAAGAAATTTTTCCAAACTTACACAATGTCATTGAGATTCTAACATGAATCTCCTTCAAGTATGTCAATTATGTGAATATGAAGTGCTGTTCTCATGTAAAAGAACAATTAAGATAACTTCGTAGAAATCAGTAGGGTTCAGAAACCCCACAAACCTACTGTCTTTCCCTTTTACCTTCCACTGGATAATTCTTGTTCATCTTTTAGGTTACAGGTTATTCCCATGTTCTCCTTGAAACCTTCCTTTGACATCTCTCCCAAATATTACTATGTAAATTCATAATCATTTACACAGAATTTCCTCATTATTCTTCATTTTCTTTTTTTTATTTTTATTTTTTTAACTGCTTAGGTATCTGTCTCTTTTCCACTAGACCTCTTTGAGGTCAGGAGCTGTCTTAATCTAGTTTACATTTTGCCTAGCACAGCAGCTCCACATCATAAGATTTCAGTTCTTATGTATCTAAAGATCTTTTTGTTTTCTGTTTCTTCTTTTTTTTTGAGATGGAGGCCTTTGTCTCATAATAATAATTTAAATTTAAATAATAAAAATACTTTAACAAAAATATGAAAATTACATTAGTAATGAATAATACTATTAATATTGTTCATATTAACTGGCATTGTTAATAATTATCTCATTTATTTATTTTTTATTTATTTTTTGAGACAGAGTGTTACTCTGTCTCCCAGGCTGGAGTGCAGTGGCGCATCTCCGCTTACTGCAACCACTCCCTCCCAGATTCAAGCGATTCCCCTGCCTCAGCCTCTGGAGTAGTTGGGATTACAGGCACTCGCCACCACGCCTGGCTAATATTTGTATTGTTAGTAGAGATGGGGTTTCACCATACTGGGCAGGCTGATCTCGAACTCCTGACATCCAATGATTCACCTGCCTCAGCCTCCCGGAGTGCTGGGATTACAGGTGTGAGCCACTGCGCTGGCCACACATATCTTTTTGTAGTTTTAATGTCACTATCATCTGAAAGATAACTGTATATTTTACTACAAATGCTAGTGGGTAGGTAATTTTCCAAACTCTCTTGAACTTGTATTTTGGACTCTCTTTCTATAATTGCACTTTTCTGTAAGGGATACACAGAGACCACAGAGCCTGGAATGGGAAGTCATCTCACTGGGTTTTACCATGCCTGTGGAAACAGGGATAAAACCACATCCAACCTTCTGATACATATTCATCTCCTCCAAGTTGGATCTAGCACCAGGACATAAGTACATAAGGATGACACTGCCGCGACACAAAGTAGCTTGAAGTCTAGTCAAGTAAACAGATTAATAAGTAGACACATCAAATACAGAAAGAAAAGCTATGATAAAGGGTCCAAAGGAGGAACATTCAGGTTGGGATTAGGGTGTGGTCAGGGAAATGCCTTCAGCTGGAAAATGGTTAAACCAATTATGGCTATGTCTGTTTAATGGGCTATTAAGCAGTCATTCAAAATGGAGTTTGAGCGTGGTGTAGTGACTCAGGCCTGCATTCCCAACACTTTGGGAGGCTGATGAGGGAGGATCACTTAGGTCAGGGGTTTGAAGTCAACCTGGGCAACATAGCAAGACCCTTTCTCTACAAAAAATAAAATAAAATACAAATTAGCCAGGCATGGTGGCATGAGCCTGTAGTCCCAGCTACTTAGGAGGCTAAAGCAGGAGGATCCTTTGAGCCCAGGAGTTTGAGATTACAGTGAGCTATGATCACACTACTGCATGCCAGTCTGGGCAACAGAGAGAGACCCCATATTTAAATAATATGATAAATGAGTTTTATGATATAACTCCATAAAACTAAATGGAAAAACCTAAGAAGTATTCTCAACATGGATAAGTCTATTAATTTTTTTAAAAGTCTGGAATAACATATTATGTACAATATTTGGGTGGTTTTACTGGCTGTTCAGACCATTGGTGTTTTCTCTCTTAGATGCCTGTGGGCCTTTTGTTTCTTTCTGGCCACAGACGATTATTCCAATGGTGGGATGGAGAGCTCAGGATTGAGGGAAGGCAGCCTTACCCTGCCCACAAGCACGGGGTCAGGCCCGGTGTACTCCTCTATCACGAAGAACTGGTTCCAGACCCAGCCACGCTTGGAGCGCTGTAGCACCTGCCCCTCCTTGCCCTTCTCGTGGTGCCCATGGAAGGAGGGCCGCAGGTGGCCCCGCCGCTCTGGGGCAAAGGCCTGACTGTGGCACAGCATGCCCAGGCACACCAGGGCGGCTTGTAAACAGTAGTTCTCCTTCATTTTTGGTTACGTGGTAGGCACAGGAGAATGCAGCTGTCACCCCTTCCACCAACCGTGCGGTGGTCTTGCCGAGGGTGGCCTCCCGGACGTGTCACGCAGACCTCTCTTGGGATGGAACGTCTCTGCTGGCTGAGCTCATCACGTCAGGGCTGCCCACGTCCCCAGTCAGCTTCTGCAAGCAGAGAGAGGTTGGATTAGCTGCAGGCCGAATCCCCACTTTGTTTCCATTCCATTTAGTAAGCCTTCAGAACTGGGCATCAGTTTTATCACGTGGGAACTACAGGCTTTGGGGAAGTTCACCGACTGCTTTGAGCTCAGCTTGCTCATTTATGAAGTGAGGATAAGAGTGTACCCACTACAAAGCTGTCACTGGGATTCAATGAGTAATGCATATAAGTCTCTTAGCACAATGCCTGGTACTAGTAAGCACTCCGTATTTGTTATTATAATTGATCAAAACTGTGCTTATATATGATTTTTTAATAAGAAAACAGGGAATTAAAGGAGTCCAGATGGGGAACATATAATCCACACTGGGGTTCAGTTCAGGGAGAGGATGGATGGCTGGACTCAATCCTTTAGTGAGGATTGCTGTAATAAGAAAGGAAAGTGTGGGATTCCGTGCAGAAGGAACATCACATCCAAAAGCACAGTGTGTTCCAAGACGTTCAGCATGCCTGGAGGTAGTAATGAAGAAGGCAGGCAGGCAATGGATCCTGTTAGAGAAGGGATGTAGGGGGAAGATCCCAAGAAACCATTGATGGCCACTGAAATATTTATAGGAGAAATAATGGGTGAAGGTCACTTTGGTAAATCAGTTAAGGGTATAGTATCAATTCAAGGAGGAAGATTTGCTTTTGTCTGGCAAAGATCCATCCACGAAACCAAAGATCCTACCTTGCTTAGCTTGGAAGTCTCAGAAAGGATATTTTACAAGCTTTCACTAACTAGGAGAAGGAAAATAAAACAAAACAGTATGTCCTACTAACCAACCCAAGGTCGTGTTCCCAGCACCCAGCCATGACTGAGCTACTCAACACCAGTGAGGATAAGCCAGTAATGCCTTTCACCTTTCTACACTCCTCAGAGGTTTTTGACCCACAGTCACTCCTGTCCTCTCTCCAGCACTCTGGTTCTCACTGGCAGTCCTTAACTTCTGCCTTGGGTTCTGGACTTCTTCATCGGACTTTCTCATGCTGAAAACTTAATTCTTCTCTAAGGAATTCCCCTTGCTTGTTCTCCTCTCTTAGAACCATACATTTGTTTTCTGGAGAATCACCTTCTCTCTCTGGAGTGCCACCCAGACTCCAGAAAGAGAATCAGATGAGTTCACCACCAATGTGAGGGAACCTGAGATAGTTCTTTTTCAGGAGGATGACACATTGATATTGAAGATAACATTCTGTTTCAGCATCTGGGTCTAAATGAAACTGAAAAACTTATTGGGCATTGTAGGGATCACTGTCATCACCTAATTTTTTTGCTATCTTCTTTGGGTGAAATGGTTCAGGGAAAAAGGGAGCAAGAAGGAAAGAGCATGGATCTTGGCATAGTGGAAGGTACATAGACTTAGAGGTCAGCTGCAGATGGATCAGAATACCACTTCCATATTTTACAATCTGGGTTACTTTGGGCATGCCAATCAATCACTCTGAACCTCAATGTTTTCATGTGAACAATGAGGATGACAAGAATTGTTGCACCCATACAGGCCTGAACACAGAGTTGGGAACTGGGCATGTACTAGGCTCCTTCTTCTTTTCCCAGAGTGTCACAATACAGGGGAAGATCTCAAGAAACCACTGACGGTTACGGAAATATTTACAGGAGAAATAATGGGTTAAGGTCTGATACAGTTTGGCTGTGTCCCCACCCAAATCTCATCTTGAATTTAACATGTGTTGCGGGAGAGACCCAGTGGGAGGCAACTGAATCATGGTTGCAGGTCTTTGCCATGCTGTTCTCATGATAGTGAATAAGTCTCAGGAGATCTGACAGGTTTATAAGGGGAAGTTTCCCTGCACAAGCTCTCTCTTTGCCTGCTGCCATCCGTGTAGGATGTGACTTGCTCCTCCTTGCCTTCCACCATAATTGTGAGGCTTCCTCAGCCACATGGAACTGTAAGGGTACCCATGCCTTGAACATGGAGATGCCCCAAAGAGGGTGATGAGGTGCTTTCTCCAAGATGGGAATTGAGAACAAACGAGTTACTTGGGATACCATAGCCATCTGACCTCAGCAACCTAGAAAATAAAAGAACTGGTGAAATTATAATTTGTAGATACAGATCCATTCCATTTTGATGACCTTTGACTATACCAGCCCAAGCCTTTCTGTTTCCTTTGTAATATGGCAAAGTGGTATCTCAGAGGCCACAGATGTGCACTTAATGCCTGGTGACTGTCACTTTTCTCAATAACACTTTGGGATGGTATTATGTTAGTCTTTATTCAAGGAATAGGGGAGTTGAAATCTTTAGTATTTGTTTTAAACAGACACTTTGGGATATGTAAAAGGCTACATGGGAGAGAGAGAAAGATGGAAAAGGCAGTGTCATCATTTAGCAACTTGTTCCTTACATTCAGGCACTTTAATAATACATCAGATGCTGTTTCTAGAAAGCCAAACTGACTGTTTGGAAAGAGCACAAAGAAGGCCCCAGGAGGGGTTAGATGCTAAAATGAGGCAATATGAAACAATAGAAAGATTTCTGGGCAGAAGTCATGAAACTCGAGATTTGGTGGAGAATCTGGCACTAATTTGCCATGGAACATCATTGATTCTACTCTCAGAGGCTCTGTCTCACTCTGTAAAATGAAGCCTGTGTAAAATTTTCTTCAAATGGCTTCATATTCACAATTAGTTTCAGTGAACTAGTGACGGGCATTTCTTCTGATTCATACAGTGTCTCCTTACTAGACCGGAAACTTCTGAATGGATGGGATTATATCTTATTCACATTTATATGTCTGGCACCTGAGCACAAAGCAGGCCATCAATACAATTTTAATATATGATTTGAATCTCAAATTTCAACTCCAAACTTGACATTGACTCTGCGAAAACTCAAGAAGAAGAAAGAAAGAAAAAGGGAACAGCATATGGTGAGGCAAGATCCCTGCCCATCTTGCACCATGCCAAGTATTAAATGCTCATTCACACAGTGATAAATTATTCTTGCATATAAGCTGTGAAGTGTATTAGAAAGAAAGGGTTTAATTAAAGTTGATATTTCTTCACCTCTTTCTTCTGGCTGCCATTTTGCTGTAAAGCACAATTATTTCTAACACTAGAAGTGTTGAAACAAGATGACAACTTTTTTTTCTTCTATAAAAAAAGTCTAGCTTAATACTAATGAATTATAAGAGTTTCCACATGATCAATAAACAATAACATTCAATCTGTTGAAAAGATTAAATTATGTCTTTTCTTCTTTTGGAAAGAATACTGAATCAACTTGCTTTTAAGAGCAATGGCCCGTCATTTTAAATGCTTATATGACTATATGTAATACGGAAAGTTATTTTTATGGTTAATCTTAGGTACATATAAGATTGATTTTAAGACATAATTTTTTAAAAAAAATATTCACTTTCAGAATGAAAATTTATGTAGCAAGTTCTTTTCCTTAGCTACTGTTCTAAAAGCTTTACAAATAGTAACTCATCTATTAATTTCTGTAACAATCTTATGAATAGGAGCCATGAATATTCTTTTCTTAAAGGATGAGGAAACTGAGTCCCAGACACATTAAACAACTTATGCAGACTTACACTTCTAGTAAATAGCAGACCTGAGATTTGAACTCATGGCGTCAGGCCCTAGAATCCATGTTCTTAACCAGTGAACAACCACAACTCTTGTCATTTGTTTGAGTTTGAAGTTTATAAGGACATTATATGGATGTTGTGATAAAAAGCAGTAACCTGGAAGCCAGCTAAACGTGGGAAGTAAATTACCATTGGAGCTCAGCATATACTAATAACAGGACTGGAATGAAAATACTAATAATAGTTAAAATTTGCCAGGTGTTATCCGCCTAACATTCTTGGACATGTTTTCCATGAGTTGAGTCATCAAATCATAAAAACCCTAAAAAGTAGCATTATTGCTATTCCCATTTTACAGGCAAGTAGTCTGAGGCACATCAAAATTAAGTAATTTGTTCAAGGTTACAGAGCCAGCAAGTGAAGGAGCTGGTATTGAACTCTGAATGTTTGGTTCAAGGACTTGTATTACTACCCTCTACAATTTTACCTAAGAGAACGCTGCGGTTCAAATTTAGGCACACTAATACAAATAGACACAATAGCGTTAAAATGATGATAATTTAAATTTTGGTAGCATGGATAAGTAGACGGTAATAAAAAAAGAAATTATCCAAACCAAAAAGAAAGAAAAAGCATTTTATATCAATAACCAAAGTGAAGATGAACAAGAGGTAATAATTACATCAGTCCATCAATAACCATCAATAACGTAGTATAACCAGGTCCTTAAACAACATATGACACAAAATTTGATCTTTGGTTTTTATTTTAAATACCTGTTTCAGAATTTCTAAATGTGTACATTAGAAAAGGTGTATTCAGAGTGGTTTTTGTTTTTTGTTTTGTTCCGTTTTATGAAATGTTTCTAGAATTGAGAGAACTGATTGATGTATTCAGTAGTAGGGACTTAGTAGGAATCTCCCATGAAAATTAATAGGAGGCTGCCCTCCTAAGGAGACCTTGATGTTGGTAATAATTAGGGAAATATATCAATGTTCTAATTGGTTTTAATGAAGACCCCCAAGGTAGTTCTTAAACAATCCATTAAAACACTTTTTAGCAGTATGCCAGGATGCCTAAGCATTGGGATTCTACTAAAACATATAGGAGGACTTTATTTTATGATGGGAGCATATTGCTTGGAGGGAAAAATAAATGTTGTTGAAAGTCACAGCAGTAATAACATGACAGGAAAATAGATGTGCAAAGCCACCAGCTCGAAAGGGAAGGCTCACCCCTCTATCTTGAGAGCAGATAGTCCGTCATAAGCTACCGCGCCTTGAGCATAAAACTCTCTTGCTGTGCCTGCTTTTGTCTCCATAAAAGAAAATGACATATACGGGTGTTTAAGTATATTTGGACTCCTGCTGGAAATTGTTATTGGGTGGAGAATGCAAGACGA